AAGTAAACAGGTGCTAACGCTGGAAGCTGTGTCTACCTGTGAGGGCATGAATGCTGAAAATGCATTTAACCTCTGCTCAGAAATGCCACCGACGGAGACATCATAGACATATTAGTACACTTGCCACAGCCCACTCAGGGGCTTGGCTGACACCCAGTATGCTCTATGCCAAGGGCTCAGGAAGAGCCCACCCCCTTCTAATTCAATGTAGCAGGTTGTTCTAGAAATACTCTAAATGTATTTTCCTGTTGAAAGTACAACGTGCACTTCAAAAACATCATTCACAACTGAGCAAGTCAACCTTGTACAAACCTCTTTAAGAAATAATGAGGGGGCAACTGAGCCCTGCAACAAATTACAGAGGCTGTTAGGAGGGTGCGTGCTGGAATTTTAGGAAACTCAGGTCTCTAGCTCTGCTTGTCAAATCCAGACCAGTTCTGATATTAATTATTTTCCGAGTCTCCCATTACATGGCTGTCTTCCTTCCTTATCCTGCTATACACACAGAGTGGGATATTTGTATATATATTTTACATAGTACGTATGTATTAGTCTCCATACACACAAAAGGTCAATCAAGACATTGTTTTCTGTTGGAATGGAGAGGAATGGAGACACAGAATTGACTGAGTTTTACGGTATGAACTTCTAGGTCACCAGATCCAATATTTAGCATCCTGCAGATTTTTGAGGTGGTACCACAGGTATACATAAGTAAGCAGAGAAGTGAACTTTAGCTTTAAAGAAATGTGGAATTGCAGATGCTTTACCCCCACTGGATTCCACTTCTAATACTGACAACAAAAACATTCTGAGACGTTCTAAATTAAATTATAGTGGGCCGGAGGAGGGGGAGAGTGACAAGATGGGCTAATCAGCTAACAGAGCCACGGATGAACCCGGCAAAGGACTGCTCACATTCCTGAATGTGTACTGAAACTCTGAATCACTTTCCAGGAAGCTATGGCTCTCTCAGCTCTTATCTGGGGAGGGCACCCTGCTTTCGTGGGAACTTTCCATGCTCTCCCTCAGCCACTCAGCAAGCACTGACATATCTTCCCTCAGGACCATTCCCCTGTCCCAGAATTGTGCTCGCTTCACCTTACTGCAGTCAATGTCAACTCATTCCAAACAACTTTTATCTTTCTTCTCCAAGCCCACTGCATGAAAGAGCCACATCAGCCCCGGGACAGCGGGCATGTGGCTTGCTGCATCCGCCCCGCCTGTGAGGCTTTAGACCGCAAACCCAGGGCCTGGCCTCTTTCTGGCCACCGTGTGGCTCAATAAGCACTTTCTTTCAGGATAACTTCTGACCACGAAGGTTTTTGATTAACATTTTAAATCAAGTTTTGGATACACCAGTAAATAGGTGTTTTAATTAGTCAGACATATTTTCATAATTATTAATGTTGTTTTCCATTATAACTATAGTGAGCAATTGTTAGATCATTTGCCCACTTCTTTCCCCAGTTCTCTTACTGAGAACTGACTCTTCTGCAAATCCACAAAGTCATATGGGTGACTCTCAGCACCTAGAATAGCCTTGTATTTTGGCTATAATCAACTGAAACAGAGCTACGCTAACCATAGTTCATTTCCAAGGACTTAAGAATTGGGACCAAGAGACTTAAGCAATTTCTGTATCACAGGTTGGATCCTTACCATGTTTGAAGCTTTCAGCAGCCATGGCTTCTGCCGTGTGGATGAGTGAAACAGAAGAAGCTAGTTGCAAAGAGAAGAGTGAAGCAGACACACAGAGGCTGTCTCCTGCCAAGACCTTTCATTCCAGATGGGTCTTGGAAATAACTCAAAGCATCTGCTATTCAGATTGCCTTTTNCCCCCATCCACTGCCCTCCCACCCCCATATCATGCTTAGGGTCCCCTTAATTTTATCAATGAAGATGTCTGTGGACCTGGCTTAGACTCTTGAATGAGAACACTGCTATCCCCATCTGTTTCCAGAGTGGAAGTGGCTTGGCTGGCATTCTTCTACAGATACCCACTCCTGACACGGGAAATTAATTACAACAGGATTTTCCTTGTATTTTACTTCTATGAAAAGAAAATGGTAGCAAGAAGCTATTTTGACTTGTATTTGCAAATAAAACGTTACATTCTAACATTGTCAAAAATGAATCTTTCTGGAAGCTATACCATAATCATAAAAGTCACTGACAACAATTTTCTTGTCAAATACAGTGAAATTAAACGGAATAAAAATAATTATTTTAAAAGAAAGTAATGGAGCAATGTCGTGGTCTCACAAGGAACCTGAACCCGTCTCTACTGGTCTGGGGGGATGTTATTCCCACTGATCCTTTCTTCCTCCTACATATGTCCTGCCCCCCGCTTTCTGTCCTGGGTCCTCTAACTAGTGACTGACTGGATGCTCACTGTGACCGTTTAAAGGGAATCTGACTTTCCGTGAGGGCTTGGACCTATTTTTCTTCTGGCTTATTTACAGCTTGCACTGGAGCTAAAATGTTATGGTTGGACATATTATATAATAGGTAAGGCAGCCTGTTCCAGCTTTTGGCAGCTTGATAAAACGAGTTCCATTTTCCTGCTGGTTCCTATCTAGAGATAGGCAGAACCTACTTTTGTTTTCAACTAGCACAGGAAGAAGTATGCCCAAAGACTAGTGCAGTCATGGTTAGGCTAAAACTTTAGAATAAACAATGATGGAGAACATATTTACTGTGAGGATATGAAATAGTAGAACAGATTATATTATTATCTCATGTAATGAAAATCTGGGTCATTGAACATCATTGTTGACTGTTGGATGATGAAAACGAAGTCCGTCTCTGACAAGTGACAGTAATATACACTAAACTTGCTTGCATCTTCCCTGATACGGCAGTTTCAAGGCAAAGGAGAGGGAGAAGCGCAGAAGGCGCTGCGGATGGAAGGCTGATTTCCTAAGCTGTCATTTAAAAGGTAAGCCATCCGAGGCCCATGGGAGCTGTAGCCCCTGTAACCACACAGACGTGAGTGGTTATTATAGTGTGGTTTTGTCAAAGGAACTTAGCAACAAGATAAAATAACAGCTGTATATTTTGTAGAGAAGTTTGCTTAGGAAGGCAGTTGCCATGGGAACGTCTGGCAATAGCGAGTTGATTGTGTGTTGTATGAAAGTGATGAGTTTACTTTGTCTAGATTATTTTCTTAGCACTGGCAACTTCTGAGGGGGAAAAAAGAAGAAATAGTCTTTTCCAGGCATTTGTATATTCGAAAACAATCCACTTCATTTTTGAATAGATATGGAGAAGGAGACACTGACAAGTCTCTTCACCAATGAATCATATACTTATACCAAAAATATATATATTGTATGAATTTACTGTATTTCAAAAGAGCTCTGACTGCCACAGCTTTGTACTGTAGCTCAACTTTACTCAAATGAGTCACATTCAATTATGAGTCCTCAGAAATTTGCTTAAAATAGTTGCAGCTGGGAGATGCAAAAAAAAAAAAAAAGAAATCTTATGAATGAGCAAAAACGAAGTGATTTATACTCCATGGGGAAGTCTCTCAGGGAAAAAATCTGGTAAACAGGCTCTCAGAAAAAAAGGGGAAACAGATGCTGACTGATAAGAATTTGCTAATTTTAACAGGGAGACACCAGTGTGTATGTGCTGGAGTTCGAATGAGGATTTGGCTGAGCTGTTTTCTCTCTGCAGGTTGGCAAGACTTCAGTGAGCTGAAAGCTCTTGATCAAAAGATAAAATGCATTTCACCTCAGAGACTTGCAACATGCATTCCTTTCATTCAGCTTAGCTGAATTCAAGATCGCCACGAGCCCAGTGGCCTACAGAATATGAATCTGTCCCGCAGTCCCGGAAGGTCTATCTTCCCAAGGCTAAGGCCAAGGCTCACCAAAGAGTGAGTATAAGGCAAATCCTCACACCCCCTCCTGAGCCCCCACCTCCCATAGCTTCCTTCCACAGGGAACTGTTGTGAGAAAACCTACTTTTCAGGTGCCTTGACAAAGCTGCATTGGCTCTGACTTATCTACGGATTACCTGTAGTGTTCTGGGTTTAGGGAAAAAAAACCATCTTCAAACCAAGACCCAAAGCCCTGTTGTTAAAGGGAACCTTGGAAAGGTGATGGAAAGACAGAGGAAGAAGGAACAGGTTCCTGAAAAATTAAGTAGCTACAAGGACCAAGAAAATTTAGTGTACTAACTTCAGTTATTCTGGCAAAATCTACCTTCCAGGATGTGTCTCTTTTCAAAAGCACCAAGGTATGAACTTCCTGCTTGACTTTGTTTTTTTCTCTGAGATTGGAAGAGTGATCCATCTGTCCTTTACCTTTCTTTACTTGGTTCCTGGCTAAGTCAACAATTTGAAAGAAGACTGGGAAGCCCCCTGAATTCATTTGGTAGAAGCTGACTCCTGATGTTTTTCAGGAAGTGCTTTGACATTTCAGGTTATTTTGTAGGAAACGCATCCTGTTGTGACTGGGGTCTAGCCGGACTGGACATGGCTTTTGCTCCACCTCAGAGGAGCTTCCACTGAGCCAGCCTAGGAAATGAGCATGGGACTTTTAGAGTAATTACAACAGTTAACACCTATTAAACATGCATTATGTGTCCAACACTGTGATTTCTAAGTATGGCTTTGAAATGACACTGTGAGGTCAGTACTATTATCATGTCCACTTTCCCAGTTCTCCAGGTAGATTCATTTGGAGCTGGAATCTGACAGGCTGTTCGACTCTAGAAACCGAGCTCTGCGGGCCATTACTCCACTGTAAGGTGTCCTTACATCCCCAAGCTTAGAGGACACTGGGGCCCATCCTCCACACCTAAATAATAACCTCATTCTGCCTCTGGAGACAAAGCTGCATAGCTCCCTCTCCAATCACATTGTTCCATGTACTTCTTATTATTTAATTCTACTATTAATCTGGAATTTTCTCAGCTATTTGAAAATGTCTTGAGAGTCCTAATTTGACTGCCAACTACTTTTAAAAATTGTTGCCATTGGAGGTCCTCAAAATATACTTGAAGTAAACAAAATTAGGGATATATAAAAATAGAATGTAAGGCCTACAAGACAATAATAACAGAAATTAAAATTTAACTAGAGTCCCCTTACTTTCAGAAAGCTTATCTATGGATCTGGTAACAAGCTATTATTTTGTCTTCACTTTGGACATAATAAGAAAAAATAAATGATCTACAAAATGGAAGGAAGCTCTGTGTAGGGAACGGAATTTGTCGCCCCAAATACGTCTCTTTGGCATAAGGATTGTTTTAGGCTGGTTATGTTTAAGAAACAGCAGCCATGGGAGAAGGTCTGAAGACCAAGTAGAAGCCCCCTATGACATACTAACATCAGTAAGGGAGATCTCCATCTGTACTGAGGGGGAGCACAGTGTGCCCCCCAAATGTGGGATATTGTTTGGGATATTGATTATTTTAAGCTGGCTATTTTTAAGAAACAAAGATTCAGGAAGAATCTTTGACCTTCCCCTAACTGCCTGAAAGAATTCAGACAGAGGCCCTGCTCCAGAAGGAAGCTATGATAGCAGAAAACTATAGTGTAAAGTGAACTAAGTGACAGACAGGGAGGAACCCAGCAAGGCTTGTTTGATCAAAGTTCTCTCTGTCCCATCATTAAAGACAGCCCAGCAAACACTGTTTACCAAACACATCCTTTTCCTTCTCCATGTGAGTTGCCTTCCTGTCCTTAGAAGTCCAGCCCACAGCCCCCCTTTCATCTTAGCTCCAGGTGGCACATAAGCCTCAATTGCCTGATGTGTCCTCGGGCCCCATTTGCTTATGGAACCCCTCTATGTGTATATGTAACTTAATTTCGATATTTTCTCCTGTTAATCTGTCTCATGTCAATTTAATTTTTAGGCCAGCCGTAAGAACTAACAGGGGAAAGAGGAAAATTTCCCCTCCACCAGGTAAGGGTGGCTCTCTGGCTATACCAGGAAGGGGGGATGACCTTAACTCTAGGAACTCTTATCAGTGCAGAAAGCCTAGACTTAAATCTGTGTGACATCCTCACTGTGCTTTTGCTGGTAACCCCCAAAGCTGGTTCCCCCACCCTCTACATCTTCTTTTGTCTTCAGCTGAAGCTGGTATGTAAGGTGGTGGCTTGGGTCATTTTTGCAAGTTGCTCAGTGTTCCTGGGTCTCTNATATATATATAGTCCTTCAAAAAAGCTTCCTATGTACTAAATTAGAATCATTTAAAACAGTAAAAACATCACAACAAAGTATTTCTAAATTTATAACATAATTTGAAGGGAATCCAGGGCTTAAAAAAGGAGACCATGAATCAAGTTCAAATACTAGTCATCATAAAACAATAGAAGTACATTTTATGGCCTCTGTCTGAAACCTGTCTGATTTTACCCTTATGATCACCAGTGGTGGACAGTAATGCCAGTCTGGGTAAATGTGCACACATAACACATCAAGTTGGTTAAAGGGGGCTCAAATGAGCGGACAGCACAAACACACTTGTGAATGTGCACAGGGTACAAGGAGCACAGAGAGAGGTCAGGCAGTGGGTCTTGAAAGGCTTCTTAATGGAAGTGACTCGTGAGCCGAGCTTTGAGTTTGGAGTGAGTCAGATAAAGGAGAATGTATTCCAAGCAAACAGCAAGTGGGAGGAAACAGGCAGGTGAGAATGTGTTCGATTCCATGAAATGTAATTCATTCAATAAGTCTGGAGAGCACAGCCTCCAACTGAGAGTGACAAGAGTTCCAGGAATGCATCAGATTATGAAAATCCTCATGACCATGCAGAGAATGGGCTCTCTCTTGAAGAGGAAGAGCATCCATTGAAGTGAAGAGTCATTTTTTAAAAACTAATAAGAAAGAAGACAGTTATCTAGTCAGAAGGTAGAAAGAATGGTACCGAGACAGGAGGCAGAGGTGGAAGAGTGAGGCCCTGAGCTGAGCAGGGACCATGCCCTTGGAGGGGGAAACAAGCAGGAAGGCTCTTTGCAGGGCTGGCAAGTGTCTGGTTGTGCAGGATGAGGGGTGTGCAGGCTCTGGGACGACTCCTGGACACCTACATTCTGCCTGCTTGGGCAGTCTTTCTTTTGGTGCTTATTTTATCAAGTATGTTTATTTTATTTAATTATGATGACAAGGATGCCTTTGGACCTTTTGCCTGTCTCTATTTGCCCATGGAGGAACCACTCTCTAATGTGTATCTATAGTTTATTTTTACTTTATTTTTTCACCATAATACTCTCTATGCACTCTCATCGCCAAACATGGATGTATTGACCATCTACTCTTAATACATGTCTTGGGAATTAAGTTAAAAAAAAAAAAGATCAGTAGGAACCTGATGGAACTCAGGTGGCCATGGGCAAATACAATGACAAAAGACCATTAAACAGTCTGTCTCAGAGTCATGTAATGTATCGAGAAGGTGTTCCCTACCTGGCACAGATGTCAGGCTGGAAGTAACCTGATATACAGCACAGCAGGAGGGCGAGTCCAGGCTAGCTTCACACAATAGGTGGGAGTAACTTCTGAGGGATCCAGGCATGGCTTCCCTATTTCTAAATAGTAAAGAGTGTCAACTGGGAAACATGACAGATAAATGCTTCAATGTCCTTGGCTGTGTATTTATGAGGTGGGTAGCCAAGGTCTGATTATTTTCTTTGTGTAAGTCTTCCTTTCTCCCCTTCCCCCTCATACACACACAGACACACACACACACACACACACGCACACACGCACACAACACACACACACACACACACACACACGCGCGCGCGCACACACACACACACACCCAAGTCTGACAATTAAGTTCGCGAACTTGTTACAACAAAGTTGCTAACATTTTTTGATATCAGAGGGATTATTCATTATGAATTTGTACCAACTGGACAAACAGTTAACCAAATTTGCTATTTGGAAGTGCTGAAAAGGCTGTGTGAAAANTTAAAGCCTATATTACAGAAATAATTACTGATCCCTGCCTTTTTCAAGATCTTTGATTCTTTATTAAAATAAAAAGTTTTTTAACCTAGAGGTGATATTTTTTGCAAACCCACCTATAAATAACAGGTTTATTCATTCCCTCTTGGAATCTAAATGCTGGTCTCACAGTACCTTTGAAGATTTCTGGGAAACTCTTCAAACTTTTCAGATTATAAGATTTACGATGTGATCACTTAGCAGCTGCCAGGTACAAATAAAGGTGTCATAGCACAAATAATATGAAAACATAGAGTGATAAAATGACAGCAACTGAGGACTTCCACTTATGGCCAAGATGGAGTAACAGGGACTAGATTTACCCTCCCTACTAACACAATTTTTAAAATAGACAAAATATTAGAAATAGTTTTAAAGACACGGGGCAACAGAGTAGAGATCTTAGAGAAAAAGAAACAGATGAGGTGAGCTCCCAAATTGTTGTATAATAGTTTATGGCTAGAGACAGTTTCCAGACCAACGACAGGAAGCCAAATGGATCAAGTGCTGCCTGAGTTAAGGAAACAGAATCTGGAGAGACCAAGGCAGCTAAAGTACACAGGACTCAGTGCCAGACAGGAGAGGTCGGCAGAGACAGCCCTCAGGCTTTGCAGAGCGTCCATCTTGAACTTCCTCTGGGCATTCTCTGTGCATGTGTGTGAGGAGATGACCCTTGGCTGGGGCAAGAACTGCCTGAAAGGTTTAGAAAGACCAATCTCAGAAACCACACAGACCCAGAAATAGGTCCTGTTCCCCAAACCCAGAGTGGACATTTTTATAATTTACATGTCATTGGGTAGAGTACTCGTAAGGGTTTTACCTGAAGTAAAGGGAGAAAATTAGCCCTAGGAAAAAAAAATGCTGCATCGATCTCGCCTAACAAAGATCAAAAGTAAGATCCCTAAAGATTGAACTATTACCACGTTGTGAAACCTCATCTCAGAACAAAGCTCAAGATTATTTACAGGAATACAAAAATTATTCATGATCAAGCTACAACTGAGTAAAAGTAGTAAAAAATGACCATAATTTCAAGCAATGTAGATTTCAGAGCAAAGAACATTTTCAGGGATAACGAAACATATGATAATGAATAACGGAGCAGTACACCAACATTCTGACTGCATCTGCTTATCAATAAAGATTAAATAAATATTAAATAAGTTTAATGAAAATTGAGGTTTCTTTGCCATTCTGGAAGCTCTCTAAATAGCAGTAGTGGGTATCCATTTGTGTTCTTGCATGCCCACCATATTTCCTTCCTTTTTTGGCCACAGAACTTCAATTTTACTTTGGGAAATGTCCTTTCCTCCATTCTGCGCAGTCTTGTGGATTGTTAGTCAACATATATAGTCAACGACAATCAGGTTCATGTCCAGGGAATCTGAATCCCATGAAGGGACAGGAAGGGAGGGAACAGCTGACTGATTCCCATCAGTGCCCAGGAAGACTGCCCATTCATTCGGGCTGACCTGGTTCTGCTTCTCCCAGGCCGTTCGTGTGTGTCTTCAATCTGATGAACTACATAAACTGACATCCGCCTACCTCTCCACATGTAATTATGTTTTCCCAGTTTCTCATTAAATCCAATCACCTCACTGAATATTTCAGGTCCCTTCCCTTCAAGGCCTTTGCCCCACTGCTCTGTCTGATGAACGATTACTGCAGTTCTGCCTATAACTGCCTCCTTCTCATCCTGTGCATCTTACTTCAAATGTTTCTTCTTCAGAGAGGTCTCTCCTATCTACATTCTGCACAGCCACCATCACTCTGTTATTCTCCGTAACATGGGTGAGCACATTATGGCCCTCAGGCTAAAGTGAGCTCCTCACCTGTTTTGATAAATAAAATCTTATTGGAACACAGCCATGCTCATTTTTTAGCAATGCCTGTGGCTGCTTTTGCCCTCCATGGGAGAGCTGAATAGCTACAAACGTGGCAGTATGTTTTGCAATGCCTAAAGTATTTTCTATTTGGCCCTTTAAAGAAAAACTTTGTCGCCCCCTGCTTTATAATGTTGTTCATTTCCTTAAAGAACTTAGCAGCAGCTGCGATTATCTTGTTCATGTGTGTTAGTTGATTAATATCTGTCCCCACTCAGCACTAAGAGATGTGAAGCAGGTGGATTGCCTGCATCCCTGGTGCCTAACCAATGTTTGCCCAGAGGAGAAATCGGCCGATATTAGTGGAGTAGCTGAACCAATGAGAATGTCTCTCAAGTACTGGCAAGGCCACCCCTTGTACCCAGCACACACTGTGGTGCCATGTTCTCGCACTCCTCTGTTAGGCAGACCCTGTGTGATGCCTGTGCTTGTTTCACAGGCATGTCCTGTGGAGCAGGACTGAGTCCACCCTGGGGACAGCTGACTGGACTAGGAGAGAGACTGGACTGAAGAGGAGCCCACAGAGGATGGCCTGGATTCTATGACCACAGGTAGAAAGAGGGACCAGTCACAGGATCCATGAGATATTTTTTCAAGAATTGGAAACTGGAAACAGGACTCAAAAGTTGTATTTGTCTCTGTTGAGAGATGCCTCAGTAAGACCGAATATTTTGGTCTTCGTGCATTCTTACATGAAATCCACTTTGCAACTTGAGCTAGTTTGGTTGTATACAAAGCGAAAAAGTAAACATGTCTAAGTTAGACTGAGCAAAAATGCACATAAATAAATGAACACAGGATGATCAACTGCAGTCTCACAGAAGGACAGAGTATGTGTTTGAAGAGAGAACAGAAGCACAGTCCGGTGACACACGCTACTCAGGGCGACAGTGAAACCACTGGACAGCTGGCCATGCCCTGTGAGGACGAGATAGTCTTTTTGAAATAATTGGTACTGACCAATTATGTAACGGTACAGTGCCATGTCATTAAAGCTACTAATGACAGGAAAATCTTTTGAGCATGCTTATAGTAGTGTTTTGATTTTGCCAGTACAGAAATAAAATTCATTATC